GGGCTTTCTAGATATTATCTCTAATAGGTTAGTGAAGGCCTAGCTTATGAAGACCTCAGGATTTTAGGTGCTTCGGAAGTGGGACAAATGCCTGGACTGACCAGGATCACACCGCTTACACGCTGAGCACGGTCGGTCATTTTCCAAGTTTTTTTTTTTAAATGCTTGTTTTTTTTAGCTCGGATCGGATGGCTTCCTGAAAGTACTGCCCGTCTATTTGGACCATCTTCTTGATCCGCTTATTTTTGTAAGTCGTAATTGCCTAGTTTAAACATATTTTTTACTTTTAGGACGCCCACTACAAAACGGAGGTCCATCACGTCAACGGGGCCGGGGAGGACGGCGGAGTTGTCTATTCGGAAATGCAGAATTACGAAGGCGATATGGAAACGATGGTCGGAGAGTGGGTACCCCGCTCGGATCCTAATTGACTTTTAGGAAGGCCAAGACAGTGTTCTACCCGCCCGGAAACCCGTATTCCGTCAATACTGGTGGTGCGTTGAAGCATTTGCGTGAGAGCTGCACCGTTCAGAAGGTAAAAAATTCTGTCATTCTACTATATTTTTTCTAGTGTCGCGACTATCATAAGAAATTCTACCACGTCGACAACATGCTCGTCATGGTCACTGGCAAAGTGGATTTGAACGCTTTAAAGGATATCGTGGAGAAGGCATAGACTTTTAAGTGTTTACTAAGGACGCTCTTTCAGGTAGAAACGAAATATATGGACCGGAAACCGGCTACTTTTGATCGTCCCTTCACCTCGTTTGTGCTGCCGAAGCTTGCTGAAAAGAAAGTGGCTCGCGTGCAATGTCCAGTTGACGATGATTCGAGCGGCTACGTCGAGATGTATTGGTAAGCATTTAGTTAATGTAAAAAAAACTAAAACTACGCTGAATACCGATATGAGGAGGTTAATTTAGGTACGGCCCATCCCCCACCAACTTCAAGGACAGCTCGGCCTTCACGATTCTAGAGACCTATATGGAAGACACGGCAAGCGCGCCCCTGCAAAAAGGTTGGTGTTATCTTTTTGTTTTTTGAACCGATTTTTCCAGAATTTGTTTTGACCGACCAGCCTCTCGCCACCAACGCCTCATTCTCGTGTCTCATCCAGGTGCGCAAAATTTTTTCAGCGTAATCAGATCATTTAGAAGCCCTGCGTCTTCATCTTGCGCTTCCAAAATGTCCCCAAGGCGAAGTTGGACCAAGTGGAGGACAAGTAAAATCTATTCGGTTTCTCATTCAATCTTTTTTAATCCTTCAGGGCCCTCAAGCTTTTCCGCGACCATGTGCAGGGGAAAATCGACTTTGACATGGAGCGCATGCAATCGATCATCGACCGAAAAATCCTGAGCCTTCAAAACAACGTATTTTCTTGAGATCTAAATCTCTGAACGGCATTTTTAGGTGGAAAATGACGCCAACGACATGATGGTGCACCCGATCATCAACTATCAGCTCTACTACGAGACCGATCAGGAGCTGGATGGCGCTTTCCATGAGGTAATTTTTGAAGGTTGAATCTCAAGCCAAATTTTTTAAACTTTATTTTAATTTAATTTAATTTTTGATTTCTAATCTAATTTAATTTTTGATTTCTAATCTGTAAATTTTTCGAATATTTAGATCGAGCTACTGCGCAAACTGAGGGACTATACACCCGAAAATTGGCGAGACCTCTTGAATGAATATGTCGTCAGCCAGCACCACGCTACGATCATCGGCGTGCCGGATAAGGGGCTCGTGAAAAAGGTTCCTTTTTCAGTCTTACATTTTCATTTTTCTTTTAGAATGCCGCCGAAGAGGAGGCGCGCCTTGAGAAGCGAAAGGCTGAGCTGGGAGAAGCCGGTCTTGCAGCCAAGGAGAAGGAGCTGAACGAAGCCGTCAAGATCACGAAGGTTATTATTGAGAAGACGTTTGATTTATCGCTCGATTTTCTAGGAAAGCTACCCACCAAACGAGCTGCTTGACGACTTCATTGTCAAGAACCTGACCAGCCTGAACAGGATCAGCGTTCAAGCAAAGGTTTGTACGTTTAATATACCTTAATTTGTGTCCTAGAAATTACTGCCTGGTGATGATCATGCCAATGACTTTGCCAAGCAGTTCCAGTGCCCAGCCGTGCAGCATACTGTCGATTCGAATTTTATGCAGGTAATTTCTATATTTCAATTTTTTCTAATAGAAAGTTTTCAGATTCGGAATATTTTTATTTTTGCTTTCTCTAGGCCGTCATCTCGTTCGACACGCGAGGCATCAGCGGCGAGGACAAGCTCTGGCTGATGCTCTACAACTCGCTACTTTTCGAGTCACCGGCAATGATCAACGGTATCGCATTTAATTGGTGTTATTATTAGGGTAGGATTCTAATTATTGAAAAAACTGAACGCTCAATTTAGGCAAGCTACACAGCGCCGAGGAGGTCTCACGGCTCTACACGAAAGATCTGGTCACATATTCGAACGATCCTGGTGTCTTCGGTGCCTACCATCGCCTGAATACACTGAATCTGCGTGTAAGAACCCATATCATAATCGTAGCGAATTTAAAATCTTCGTAAATTTAGTTTCGTAAAAAATGGTTTGGTAATTCCGTAAATATCGCGTTTTTAGGTAGACACGGTGCGCTTCAAGAATCTCGCTCACTGGGCAAAGATCTTCACGAAGGGCGTGCAGTTCGATATCAACAAGTAAGTTTCAGTTAACTTTATTGGGGTTAGGGTTTAAATTTTTTTTGGCATTTAATCTACTACCATGCAGCTTTTTAACGTTTTTTTAGGGTGAAAGTCATCGCCAAGAAGCTCGCTTCTGAAGCCCAGGAGTACAAACGTGATGGAAACATGGTCTCCTCCGCTGCGTCGGCCTCGTTGAGTTATCAAAATGGTAAATTTCGGTTCGGTTTTCTCCAACGCCACTTTAGGCTCCGTTTCCGCCACCTACAACCACATTCGCCTTGAAAAGTTCCACGAGATGGTCGTCAAGCTGTGCGATGAGAAGCCGAGATTTGTGGAGCAGAAGCTGGAAGAGGTTTTTCATTGGTGCGATTCTGGGAATAATTTTGATTTTTTTAGATTCGTTCGACGCTAGCCGCTGCCGGCGCCAATATCCACATCATTGGGGACCCGGAGCGGGCCAAGGCTCTTCCGACGAGCGAATGGGACTTTTTGCCATGCTCCAATAGCAACTTGTTCGAGGTTGTTTTTGGGTAATGGTTTTTAAATTTTGCTCTAGGTGAAGGCGGGCGAGGAGACGACGCAGTACGACGAACAAGCGGCCAACGGCTTAGTGATTGGCGTCGGTGGAACGGAGAGCAGCTTCGTCAGACAGGTGCGGAACATTGTATTTCTGGTGTATTTCAGGACAAATTTTCCGTGGCAAAAATGGTTTAAAATAGATGGTTTTTCAGAAAACTTTTTCTGGAGGGCCGACACGATCAAATTTAGTCCATTTTCGTAGTTCAGATCATATTTTGGTATTGGAAGGTTTGATTCAAGTTAAAAATCTTCAAAATTTTTGCTTTTTGCCAAAAATTGATGAAAAACGACAAAAACCTTTCAAAATTTACAATTGCTATAGCTTCAATTTGTAGACGATCTCGTCTGGCGTCGGCTGGAAGAGCAAGGAAGCCGCCACCCTACTCCTTCTATCGCAATATTTCAGCCAAACGGAAGGTGACTGCTTTTTTATAGCGCTCAACCTGTTCTTTTAGGCCCGCTATGGTGCAGAATCCGTGGCAACGGCCTCGCCTATGGCGCGAACATTTATGTTGATCTGGATGAGAAGACCATTTCGATGTCGCTGTACCGCTGCTCGGACCCGGTGAAGGCCTACAACAGCACTTTGGAGCTTGTGGTGAGCATTTTTGCGAAAAAGGTAAATTATCGCATTCTTAGCGCGAGGTGCTCGACTCGGGCAAGCTGGACACTGCCCAATTCGACTCGGCCAAGCGCTCGTTGATCTTCGAACTGATGGACAGCGAGCACGGCGTGAAGGGCGCCGCCAAACGCAGCGTGTTGGCCCAGTTGCGCGGATTGGACAACGAAACGTATATGAGGTTTTTTATCTTTTTTTTTTGTTTATTATTGAATTTTTTTAGGAGCTTCTGCGATGAGATTCTGAACACGAGTGTGGAAAATGTGTTTGCCGAGGCTGGTCCGATCATGAAGCGAATCTTTACCAAGTGAGTGCGCAGATTTGCTTTCAGGATTTCGAAAATCAGAATGCCGAAATTAGCTGTTGTCAGAATCTCAACAAATTAAAGTGTCGAAATTACAAAATAACGGATTTTAAATATGTCGAACTTTATCGTGAAATACTTTAGATTGAATGAGCCAGGAAATCCTAAAATGCCATACAGAATTCCGGCATATTATCATTTCGACCATATGAAATTTCAGGTTTTTTTTGAGATTTTGAAATTCTGTAATTTCGACATTCTGAAAATTCGAAATTTTATAGCTATGGAAGCAAAAGTTAAATTTTGTCAATTCTAGACAATCACTCGTCTTCGTCACCCAGCCCTCGAAAGCGGCCAAGATCGGCAAGCAGCTGCCCGGCCTGCGTACCGTCAACGTCGACGACCTCGCGCTGAAGCCGCAAAAATTCTAATTTTTCTCCCTCACTACCTAGTTGTTTTCTTTTTTGGCCTTTTTTTTGCTTGTTTGTGTGTGATTGTTTCCTGTTGGAGCACTAATTTATAGGCACTTTCAGAGGTACACCTTTTTTGGGGATAAAGCCTTTATTTCTGAAGTGGCCCCAGCCGCGTCATTGCGATTCGACCGGAAATTGGCTTTTCGGCCGGGGTCAGCAACGTTGTACTTTGACAACTAAACATATTAGAAATCTGCGGGAATTTGGGGGTTGTTATCATATAAAAAAGGGTTCGGTATGAAAAAAATCAATTTTTTTGTATTTTGCGAACGTGGGAATAGAATATTCTAGGGATGACTGGGGTGAGCAAAAAATAAGAGAAAATTAAAACTTTTAAAAAATGGATTATTTGAACTTTGTCGCCCATTTCATGTCATCCTCGCGCGGCTTCATCCCGGTGAAATACGTGACGACGGTCTGCAAGGGCTTTGATATTTTTAAATTTTTTTATATCGTAAAGTTAGGTTTTATCGGCCGATTTCCCCAAGAATCCCTGCAAGTTGCTCACCTCGGCTCTTCGCCAAAAGTTGATAAAGTCGAGCGGTTGATTCAGCCACCCGGTCGTGATACAATAGTAGCAGGCGTGGGGTGAGATGTGGTGGATCTAAAAATGAGGAAAATATGTTTTTTATTTACGTATAACTATTGATTTAGTTATTGATTTCAATAAAGTTATGGCGGAATTTATTAATTTACACAGGTATTTAATACGAAACGATCTTTGAAAAATTAAAAAGTATTATATGTTTTACTAATTATAGAATCTATTTCTTTTTGTATAATTCGATAATTATTTATTATATGGAAATAAGGAAAATAAAGCGAAAATACCTTATGATGATTGCGAGGCAATATGATATGCGCCTTCTGAAGAGCCACCACCCACGGGGACAGCCCGAAATACGTGTGTGACCATTTGTGAATCTGAAAAGGCTTTTTTTCTTATATAACTAAGTTACTAAAATAAACACTAGTTCGATTTCTCGAAGGGCAACTAGCAGAGATTCTTAGAGTTTTGAAAAGCTCCGAAAAAATCCTGCATCCTCTATCTAGGCGTGGAAACTAGCATTTCGATAATTTTAGGATCTTCGGTATTCTTATTCGGATCCTGCTTCTCTCCGTCGAAATATACGTTTTTTTTTCTGGAGTACGGTATGACTTTTCGGTAGAATCTTTGATCATAGCGAGGGGGTAGGATGTGCTATTTGGTATTCAATAGGGGGCAGGATGGCCCATTTCCGGTGGGCTTTTACCGCGCGCGCGGCCCGATCATAGCGCCCAATCGCTAGCTATCCAAGCGGCTTATTCCAGGAAAATATGCCCAAAAAGTCGCCGGCAATCACTGAGGTAAAATACGGCCGTTATTGAGTTTATTTTGTAGTTTTCAGGCTTATTTAACGCTATTTTTTTAGAAAGCAACCCTCGCCGAACTCGAGCAGCTTAAAGCCGAGATCCCGCTCTACAGAATTGTCACGAAATTCACCGACAAAACATCAATTCTACGCGTCGCCACTGCGTACATGTTGGTGGGAAAATAAGATAATTGTGATAGTTATCCTATATTATTGTTTTAGGTACATTTATTAGTTATTTAATTGGGTTTTTAGACGAAAAAGTTCCTCGGCGAACACCTTGGGGAATTTGATGGTCGCGTTAGGTCGGGAATCCCGGATGAGAGCACGCACAGTGTCATGGTCAGTTTTTAAAAAGTCCGTGGGTGATTTTTCGACATTTTCAAAACTCTAGAAAGGTGATAAAACCCGAGGTATCGATTTTCAAAAATAAATCTGGGATTTTCTTTGGTTTTCATATTTTGGCGGGAGCAGACTTTTTTGGCGGAACAGAATATAAAAATTACAGTTCGCTTGGCTATAAAAGCTCTGTTTTTTAGCCATAAAAATTTCTTTTTCGATAAAAAGCATAAAATTTGAAAAATTGAAAATTTTTACGAGATTTTAAAAGTTTTTTTATCGGTAAAGTGCGATTTAAATGTTGCTACACGCCCCATAAAATTTACATTGCCTTGTTAGGAAATCTTTAGGCCCTGGATGGGTTCTGTATGGTAATTGACCGATTGGGCCGTTTGCTGTACGTGACAGAGTCGGCGGCCGCTCTTCTCGGCTATTCACAGGTGACATTTTTTACGTCTTTTACCGAAATAAGACGCTCAGATCGAGGTGCTTGGGTGTGAAATAGAAGAGCTAGTGAGTCAACAGGGGTGGCAGCACATCCGTCAATTGCTACAGTATCGAGGGGACGGGTAAGACAATTTTGGAATGGTTTAAAGGGCCGAGAAAGGTTTCGGCTTCGGCTTATAGGGCTTCGCTTCGGCTTAGGTGAGATTCTTAAAGCCATAAAATTTAGTGCCACCTTCGAAGTCCCGTTTTCCATGCAAATCGACATGAAATGTAGGCTGCCGAAGCGGCATGCTGGTCAGCTGCGCGACGGCAAGAAGGTAAGATGATTCAGCTTACGTTGGGCTCAACTTTGCTTTGCTTAGGCGCGACTTAGACCCATTTTTAGCCAATCACCATCAAGGGATTCGTTCGATTCGATGGTGCTACAAGGCAAAGAGTCGAATATTTGTTGCTGCATTGTGATACAGTGGTATTTAAACCAGGGTTACGGAAGTTAGCGCAAATTTTAGGAAACGGTCGGCGATCCGGAAATGCTCCTAGATAATCACAGCTTTGTGATGCGGTTGGATCAGAGTTTCAGGGTGATATTTATGGAAACGAGGCAATTGGAGAGTCGATTTTTTGGAGCACTTTTTAGGGGTTTTGACGTGCTACGGTATCCTGGGGGCGCGTTATTGGACCGTTCCATCTATGAACTAATCCCACCCGAAGATGTGCCACCGATTGAAAAAGCGCATCGAATGTGTGAGTGGAGCAGTAGAACCGAGGGAAAAGAGAGAGAGAAAGAGAGCGAGAGAGAGACAGAGAGAGAGAGAGAGAAGGAGAAAGAGAATATAAAGAATAACTTAATTATTATAGTTTTTAGTATTGGCGGGCCAAGTGCACGTCAATAGCCTCCTGATCGGACTGCTAACGGCTGGTGGCGGCCAATGCTACGTCGACATACGCTTCTACGCTCACGGGGACCCGAATAGGACCCCGTTTACAGCGATTTGTAGCGTTGTGGGGTAAGTTGAGGTCAGGGCATGCTAGCACTGATCATTTGGGAAAACGTAACAGAAAACCAGCAATATATTTAAGAAAATCGAGCAGAAAGGGAAAAAGAAGAGAATGAAAAAAAGAGTGAGAGAGAGCGAGGGAGAGAGAGAGAGACAGAAAGAGAACGAGGAAAAGTTAAGTCCATTCAGGCAGGCTAGCGGAGCACATTTGGGAAGTTTTTTGAGCGACAAATTCCGAAATTCATGAGGGAATGTAAAAGAGTTTTTGGAAATTTTCTAGAAGCGTTTTAAAATTTGCTAAATAATTTCAAGGTATTAAAAATTTTGCTTTTTCGCTTTTTCAGATACCACACCCAATCGACCGTATCCACGCTTCAAAGCTCCTTGAATTATTGGCCGGAAGCGGAAGAAAAGAACCAGCTCGGCTGCTACTCTTCTCAGTATTATGCCAAAACGTTTGGCCCAATATTTTGAGGATTTTTGCTTGTTTTAAACTTTAAGAATTTGTAAAATAATTAATTTTAGGGTTTTTGGAGGTAAAAAATTACAAAAATTTTAAATATACAATTAAATACCCACCTGATTTGTCATTGCCGAGTAGACGCCCAGAAATATGAGGTACCAGTGGAAGAAGGCCCAGTTGTGCAACTAAAATTTATAATTTAATTTATACTTGTTGTTATGATCGTTTATCATCAGACTGTTAATATTCATAAAAATTCTCGTTTTTGAATATTTTTAATAGGCACAATTAGAATCTAAAACGACTCACATCCTCGGCGCTGTACGTCAAATGCTGGTAGAGCATGTGGGCCAGGTTGGGGATGCACACCAGAAAATTGTCGCCGTTGCACTAAAAATGGAGAATTGACAATCCTAAGGATCTATGCTAGCCTGCCCTTCCTAAAGAATCTCTGTTAGCCTGCCTTTCCCAAAGAATCTTTGCTAGCCTGCCTTTCCGAAAGAATCTCTGCTAGCATGTCCTTTCCTAAAACTCATCCCCCCCCTCCCCCCCCCATCCCCCCCCCCCCAGCCTTGACTTTCCAAGAGGGCCCCCCCGGCCCCCCCCCCAAAAAAAAACCCCCCCCCCCCCCCCCCTCCTAAAGCTAATAAACTGTAAACTGACCTCAATGAAGTCGTGCCTGGTGATGGCCGTCGGGTCAACGTGGTGCTCCCGAAATGGGCGGATAAAGCTCTAAATCCATTTTTCTTCTCGATTTCCATATTTCCTACCCTCCCGATGAGCGTCTCCACACTGCCGAAGGTATCTGCGCCCCAGTGCACCAGCCCGGAAACGAAATCTGAAATTTTTAGATGAAAACAGCAAAAATAAAAAGTTCGACGTCGAGCGGGATTGAACTCGGACCCTACGGGTGAGAGACTGGCCCACTACCAATATACCAAAAGGGAATTGGGAAACAGAGGGAAATTCGGGGGTACAAACCTGCTGTGAGGATACCAAGCAGTGCGGCTATGGGCATAGTCATCCAATAGTCGACTCGCCAGGTAGATAGGAGGCGGACTAGCATTAAAGAGAACAATATCGTTCCAACCACGACTGATATGGCTTCTTGTCGTCGTTTTTCTGGAAGGCGAAGGCTAGCAGAGATCCTCACGGCTTATGCGGAATGTAAAATTGTTTTAAGATAGCTCTCCGACTCTCGCTGACTCTTTCTCTCTCTCTCTCTCTCTCTCTCTCTCTCTCTCTCGTTCCTCTCTCTCTTCCGCGCGCTCTTTCTCTCTCTGCCTGTCTTTCCCTCTCTGTCTCTCCCCTCTCTTCTCTCTCTCTCTCTCTCTCTCTCTCTCTCTCTCTCTCTTTCTCACATACCTTTGCTATACATTCCAGCCAGCTGCTTCGCGCCGGCATGTTGCGGGCCCCATCTGGAAGAATCGTGTACTGATTAATGATTTTGGGGCAAATTTGTTACCTGGGGGCAGCGGCTCCCATCTGGACATTCACATTGCCATTTGGGTCATCTTCTGGCATAGCATCCACTAGTTCACTGGAAAAGGCTTATTGATGGTTTCAAGCAGCTCAATCTAAAAACGTGCGGGCAGGCTAGCAGAGTCCACTTAGGAAAACTCATTGCATGCTGTAAGCCGGGCAGACTAGCAGAGGCCCTTTGAGAACCCAAGAAAACTAGCCGTAACTGATGAAAACGTAAACGCAAACTACCAGAGATTATTAGAAAATAGAAAATGTTCGATTTAGAAGCAGGCAAGCTAGCAGAGACCATTTGCGGAAGAAAAACAAAGGTACCAACCTGGTCTGGCTGCACTCAGGCATCGCACCGCTAAACGAGGGCCCGTCGAGGATCATCTGAAACGGGAAGTGTTAACGGGCTATATGACCCAAGGAGAGCGAGATAGAGAAAGAGGTGGACAGAGAGACAGAGAGAGAACGATACATCGTTTTCTGCCCCGATTTTCCGGGGCCCTGAAAAGGGCATAGTGGTGGTGGGGAGGTATAAGTGGTAGAGCCCCATTCCCGGATTTGCATAAAATGAGAGAGAGCGAGAGATAGAGAGCGAGAGTGGGAAGGTGAGAGAGTAAAAAGAGGCACAGAAAAGGAGGGAAAAGCCACACAAAAACAACCGCCCCACAGCGAACACTTACAATGCAAAACAAACGGGGGCGTAGCGTTGGGCGAGAAAAGGTGTGGAAAAGCCTAGGAAAAACTAGCTAAACAAATTAGTTTAAATTGAGTATTTACATTGCGTAACCGAGTGATGGCGGTTTAAGGAAGTTTTGAAAAATAGATTAAACTAAAAATTGCTTGAAAGGGAGTGTGACTCCCAGAATAAGCCACGCCCACAAGCCCCACCCACTTTAAAAGACACTGGAAGCTGAGATGTCGTTTTAAAGGGGCGCGACATCTAGGATACGCCACGCCCACAGGGCACGCCGGCTTTAAAGGAACCTGGAAGTCATAATATCATCTTAAAGGGAGCGTGACACCTAGATTAGGGCACGCCCATAAGGCACGTTCACCGCCCACAAGGCACGCACACATTAAAGGGACCTGGACACGTTTTTAAAAGGAGCGTGACAGCTAGATGAGTCTTCTATCGCAAGTCACGCCCAGTTTAAATGATTCGGAAAGCTGAAATAGCGTTTTAAAGGGAGTGTGACACCTAGTCTGAGTCACTCCCACAAGTTAGGTATTGCTTAAAGGTCTAGGAAAATCTAACTATCGCTTTAAAGGGAGTGTGACATCTAGTGATTCAAGAAAAATCCCGAACGCGCTGTGCAAAATTTTTTCGGGTCTAAAAAGCACGATCACCGCACGGGACTACATGATCTTTTAATCCGAATATTCGGGCATCTCCATTTTAGGGCGGCGGAGAGAGGGCCACAATGGGGTGGAGAGGGAGAGGGAGACTCATTGAAGAGGAGACCCACCCACACACACCATATACGCAATACAACCCCCCTATCCAGAATAGCTATTCAACAAGGGGGGTATGCAAAGGGTATTGCCTCGGAATACGACATACACGCGCGGCCAAAGGACCCAAAAAAGAAAATCAGAAATCAGCGGGGAGTTCAAGAAGTACTCGGGAGAATCGAGGATGTTAAAGGGACGCTGAAGGGACCGTATCTAGCTTGGGTTTTAGGGGGCTTAACACTTTAAAAATTATTTTGGAACTCTTCTGTTTAAATTTTAAAATTACTAAAAAATTAGAACTTCGAAATCTATCACGATTTCCTAGCGTAAACGGTTCCGTTTTTGCCGATTTTCAAGGCGTAATCGATTTAGCTTTTCGATTTCCAGCGAGTAACCGGTACCTCGTTAGCCGATTTCAACGCGTGATTGATTCCCTTAATGCAGTAAGCTCCCGGCGGCCCAAATTTGCATAAATGTGGTTTTAACAAACATAAAAACAAATAATACAAAAATGATACCTACACGAAAAAATACCGACAAAAATGATAGGTAATACAGTAACGCATCGTATGTATCGATTTATGGTGCAAAAATTAAGTTTCCTAGCGAATTTTAGAACTGAAATAACGTAGAAATGACAAAAGGGGCACAGTAAAGGGTTTTTAAACGTAGAAAATTTGTAAAAACGATAAAAAGGATGTTTTTGGTATTAAAATTTAAATGACAAAAAGGACGTTTTTTTGGTATTAACATTTACAAAAATCATCGCCATTTTCACGATTTTTTGTTATTTAACATGTTTTGGGTTTTGAAAAATTTTTTTTCTGTGTTTTGCACGCGAAACTGCGAAATACCTACCGTACCCCGTATGTGTGAGTCTAGTATGATGGTGTATTGAAGGGTGTGTTAGTATGGCCCCCTATTGTCTGTCAAAGCCACGGGATTCTCTCGACCAGCACCCAGCAACCATCCATCCATTAGGAGACAAGCCCTCTCCCCGTGAAGAGACACTATTTATACGTTAAATGGCCCGGGTGTGTCAGTTGGAATGGCGTGGAAAACAGAGAACAGCCTCGGATTTTGATCCCGAGCCCGAAAGATTTGCGCTTAATCGGTTAGGCTATACAAATTTGAGTGGCTGGTAGGCTAGCAGAGATTTTTTGGGAATTATGACATGGATTTTCATTTTTAGGCAATCTAACGATGATCATTTAGGAATGGGTAGGCTAGCGGAAATACTTTAGAAGGGCAAGCTGAAGAGACAGCGCCAGTTAGATCCCGAGCCCGAAAGATTTGCGCTTAATCGGTTACGCGAGGGAATTTTTAAGCGGCTGCCAGGCTAACAGAGATTCTTTGGGAAGTACGACCCAAGGGCAATCTAGCAGCGACCATTCAGGCGATAACTTCCCGAATTGGAGATCTTGGCAAGCTAGCAGAGATCCTTTGGCCGATGGCCTTTAGGGGCAGGCTAGCAGGGACTCCTTAGGAAAGGACCGACCAGCAGAGGTTCTTGAGGAAGGGAAAGATAGCACACATTATTTATGAACAGTCTTGCACAGATTCATCAGGAGAGGGCAGGCTAGCGGAGATCTTGAGAAAACGGCTGACTGGCAGAGATTCTATAGGAAAAAGCAGGCTAGCAGAAATTCTTTAGATCATTGACCCGGATTTAAAGGTATCTGCAATCGAGTAGAGTGTGTTGGTGGGCCCATTTCCTCTAACTGGATCCTCTCCCCTTGCTGTCCCCCATTGCCAAACGTCTTCTAATTAGGGGTGGGGGCACGGATGGAGAGAGAGAGAGAGAGAGAGAGAGAGAGAGAGAGAGAGAGACGAAGCTAATCCCCCTAGCCATCTCACTTCTTCAGGATGCTCTTCCTGGGGCAAGTCGGCTTCTCCTCTTTGGCCATCCCCCAGCCTTGGCTGAAATGCGAAACAGGTGGAGGAAAAGAGACCCCGAATGGACCTCGCGACTCGATTAGGGGAAGGGGAACTCCCGGTAGACACGCGCTCTCTTCTCTTCCGCTATGTCTGGAGGGCATCCTGGGAAACTAGAGAAGCTTGGTCTGGTTGTTATTGGCAAAGAATCGCTGCTAGTTTGCCAACAGCCGTCGGGTCAAGTTTGAAAATTCCAATTCCGCAAAGAATCTCTGCTATTTACCCCCCCGAAGAGTGGCCCCCGGGGGGGGGGGGCAAGAACCCCCGCAAGCCCCCCCAAAAACCTGAAGGAATTTCTCAAAGAATCTCTGCTATATTGCCCTTCGAAGCTGCAGACTTCCGCAAAAAATCTCTGCTAGCTTACCTACATCAAAAGTCAACAAAAATCCCAAATACGCCAACAAATAAAAGTGAAATTTCCAGGGCACGTGGCGAGAGAGAGATAGAGAGAGAGAGAGCGAGAGCTAGAGAGAGATAGAAGCCAGAGAGACACATAAAATGAGGTGAGCACGAGAATGAGAATACTGAGATTCCGTGCATTCTTCATCTCTGGCTGTATGTTGCCCTTTGCCCTGATCTGATCACAAAAGAGGGGAGGAGGATGAGCCATTGAGGAGGAGGAGTATCGGAAAAGTGGTGAGCAAGAGAGGAAGAGAGAAAGAGAATGAGGGAGCGAGGCAACAAATAAAAACAATGGCGGGTGCACATTGAGCGCCCCCCCCTCCCATCCATCCCATTCACTGATCAATCGAGAGGCATGTTGCTACAAAAAGCTCAAGAGCTCTCGGATTCGGAGCTCGGAATCCAAAAAATCCAAAAAATGGATTTAACGGACATTATGGAAGCAGGGGACCAAAAAGCAAAAAATTGTTGCGGAAGGGTTTCGAACTCTTGACCCTGACTGAGGCTTAGAATTAGGCTAACAATAGGCTTAGGCCTGGGCTTGGACTTAGGTTTGAGTTTGGGATTAGGGTTGGCTTAGGCTTGGCTTAGGCTTGGCTTAGGCTGGACTTAAGCTGGGCTTAGGCTTGGCTTAGGCTTGGCTTAGGCTGTACTTAAGCTGGGCTTAGGCTTGGCTTAGGCTTGGCTTTAGAAAGTTTTAAAGCATAAAAAGTTCGTTTTTGGCGAAGAAGTTGTATTTCCAACGGCCGTTAAACCATACGCGTCTAAGAAGCCGGGTGATGACAACGAAAAATAGATGCGGGTGTGTTGCGCGTATCCTCAAATAGATCCACAGCTCTTCCGAGGCCCTGGTGAGCTCAGAAAATCCGTGTACCCAACAAATCAACAAGGGGCCACGCTCCGGCCAGTTGTAGCAAGGAGTCTAACGGAATGGAAAAAATGATTCTAGAAGTCGCTCGCTTTAGTATAGGTCAAGCTTGAGCTTTGCTTAGTCTTAGGCTTAGGCTTATTAGGCTTAGGTTTCGGTTTAGGCTTAGGCTTAGGATCAGGCATTATCTGAAGACATCCGCATCTAGGAGTGTCCACACAGCTCCAATAAACCACAAAAACAAAGGGCACTCTTCTAGCCATCCCCGACACGCGTCGTTAGTAACGTGGCGGAATTTGACACGTCGTACCCTCTTCTCGTGTGGTGTAGGTAGGAGGTGTGGTGTAGCCGGGTAACGCCTTACGAGACCGGCAACCAAATAAGTGAAGCGTCACATTTCACGGCATGTACCCGGGCAGAGGGCATAGCATTCGGGGTGGGGGGGGTATTGCTTTGAGGTCTGGAGGAGGCCGATTGTTTATAGAATTCAAGTGGAACAAGCTATGTGCTAGGGATTTAGTAGGAAGAGGCAGGCTAGCATAGATCCTTTAGGAAAGGAAGGCTAGCAGAGATTCTTAAGGAAAAAATTAGGCTAACAGAAATTAAGGGGAAAAAGACAGGCTAGCTGAAATTTTTTTAGGAAAACAATAGGATAGCAGGGTTTTTCAGGCAAGAGCAGGCTAGCAGAGGTCCTGTAGGAAAGGCAGGCCAGCAGGATCCTTTAGGA